TAAGATTAATTGTAATCATCTTGTATCAAATGGTCTCATTATATAATTTTCCTGTTACAAAGTGTCAATATCATCCAAATTACCAAACACCACCAAATCTTGTGGGAAGATTAAAAGTTTTTTCTTTTATTATTGGTTTGTTAGAGAGAGAGAGTGAGGGAGAGAATTATGTAGAAGAAGAGATTGTGCAAAGAAAATGAAGTAGGGAAATTGCAAAGAAAAAAGAGAGAGGGGGATCTGTTGAGAAGATAAAGAAATTGCCTCTCGTTGACAATTTGGATCCCACAAACTATCAAATTTCATATCGGATGATTGCAAATAAATATGACCTCCACGTACTAAAGGTAAAGGGTCTCATTGAATACAATCCCTATAGTAAGGGAAATTATATAATAATACCATTTACCTGTGATACAAAGTGATGACAAATAATCTTGACCATTGGATGTGAAATTGGGTGGCTATATTTATTGCATTAACAAGCTCAAAGTTTAAAAGAAATATTCTCGAACTTTGTGAAACAATCAAACTATCAGACTTTACATCGAATGGTGGTAAATAATTGTGAACTCCACGTGCTAACGGTAAATGGTCTCATTGTATACAATGCCATATAGTAAACTTAACACCGAAAAGGGTGGGGAGGGGCATTAGTCATCTTTTCTAAGGGAAATATTTATATGCTTCCTCTACAGCATAGAAGTTCTATCCCCCCCTATCATCCTGCCATCCAATTTTGATCAAGAGCGCCAGTCACTGTTTGATCTTAGATCTAACGTCTCAAAGTATTTTTTTTTTAGTTTTTTTTATAGAAATTGTATGAATGTGAAATTTGGTACATGCCATCTTCTCATTGGTGCACATCTATAAAATATATTAAAAATATTTTTCGATAAAATATAATAACTAAAATACCCCTTAAACTTTTCGGGGGTATTTTGATCATTTTATTTTATTGAAAATATTTTTTGCTAATGCGAGTTTAATAAAGGAATGGACATCCAAAATTTGGTATCAAAATGGTTTATAGAAAAAACATTAAAAATAAAATAGTGTAGAGACGTGACATTCTGATTGGAGCAAGCTTAGCCCTCCATTAAAAATGAACGGTTGGATCAGGGGATGATAGAACTTCTATGCTATAGGAAAAACATAAAAAGCTTGCCCGTCTTTAAATAAATGGGAGGGTGTGCTTCCTTAGGCTAGAAGGTTTAGGTGGACCATAACTTTTAGAAAGAGGGACTACATCCTTTTCCTCTCCCATAAAAATCTTATAATTGCTCTTTTGCATAAATTTCAAAACGAGGGCCTACGTCCTTTTCCTTTCTCATAAAAATCTCATAATTTATCTTTTGCATTGCTAGGTTAGAACCGGAAAGAATGCTCTCTAGCCTTTTAGCGGGAACAAGATAGAAATAATTTGTTTTTCCCAATTCCAGGGAAGGGTTTTGCCAAACTCGAACTCGTATATTGTTGGAGATAAAATATTTCAAATCCTATTCATTCAGGTGTATTCATGTGTATTACTGATTGTATACAATAAGAACTCCTAATCATCTTTACCTATAAAACGACAAATCAAATAGCTTGAAATCTAATGACAGATTGATGTGTGATTGTGACCTTGTTGTCAATAATATGTGTATATGATGGTAAAAAAAGGTAAAAAAAAAATGAAGCTCATAGTTAGGGTGGCAATGGACCCCCAAACCTGAGACCCGATGAGTATGGGCATGGGTCAACCTTTTGGACCCGACGGGTCGGGTTCAGGTCCAAAACTTGGACCCAAATACTATCGGGTCTGGGTTTGGGTCTAGGTCTGGGTCTGAGTCCAGCCGGACTGGACCCATTGCCACCCCAATGGTAATGTATATAATGCAACCATTTATTTAGTATACAAGGATGTCACAATTGTTGATCATTAGATGTTGAATCAAATTGTTAGAGATATGTCCTAGACTAGACACAAAGAATAGAATAAAATATCTCAAATATTGTGAAACACTTGATCACATCCAGTGTTTGAAAAATCGGCTGGTTCAAACTGGAACCAGCCAGTTAGATCGGAACTGGGACCCTACCGGTTCTGGTTAGCACCGGTTTTAGAGTACAACTATAGGACAAACCTCCTGGAAAAACCTCCGGGCCAAAACCGATTGGAACCGGTCCGAACCACTCTATTTTCTTTCTAATCGATCAGTTTTTTACTTAACCGGACCGGTTTGTTCATAAAACCGTTTTTAACATTATAATGGTATATATATAACGGTGTTATGTAATAGCTCCATTATTTGATACAGGGCCCATTATTTTTTACAGAACCCACAAGTTTTCTTTGGAGTCAAGATTGATTTGAATTTGTGAACTTATCAGCCTTTTAAGGATTTTAAAGAGAATATTTTGAACATAATTATTAATGTTACTCTATAAAATAGTCTATTTGAACTAAAAAACCACCGAATTTCAAGTTTTTTTTGGCATTATTTAGTTGTTCTTCATTAGTTTGATGAAAATCCACCAATCTACAGTTCCTGACGTTGTTGTTGATTTTTTTTCGATCCAAAGGGAGGGCTCTTGTAGATGAAAGAGATGGTCAGACTAAGACATTCATGGTTTCAACAAAATCCATAGATTGCGGGCTCGAAATTGCAATTTCTTGGCCGTTATTTCGGTGTTTTTCAAATTTCCATGAAAAATCCACAAGTCTAAGGATTAGGGCTTGTTTTTTTTATTTGTTTTTGATAAAAATAGGGGGTTTTTAATAATCACAGAGATATCCAGATTTTTAGACTCCTGATTTCATTGAAATCGAGAGATTTCGAGATTGATTTTGAGATTGAAGCTTCATTTGAGTTGGAAGAAAACAAGGTAAGCTCCAACCGGATTTTTTTTAATTTGTTTCCTAATTTTTCAGCCTTTGTTAGGATTTTGCGGACAATATCTGACTGAAATTATTGATTGCATTCAATAGAAAAATGGATTTGACAACAAAAACAGACAATATCTGACTGAAATTATTGCTTGCTTAATAAAATTTTGTTTTATGATGAATATGTGAAATGTTTTTCTATCTTTCGTAATAAAATTATTTTTTTGATAAAATTACATTTGATGAATATGACAAAAAAAATCGATTCTTCTATTTTTAATGTTATATTAGTAGGTTTTCAGTCTTAGAAATAATGCATAGAGTAATGTATTTTAGAAAAGGTGTGGTTTGTATAGAGCCTAGGCTCTAAACAATCACATTAGAGCTTACTTTCAAATAGTGTCGAGAAATGTGGTTTCAATACTAAAAATCATTGTGATAGCCTTAGAATATATTTTCATCTTTATTTATAAAGTTTAGAGCTTCAAAAATAGTGTAGATCGATAGGTCTATGAAAACTTGAAAATCTTGAAAATTGACAGTCTAAAATGTATTTCAAAATACACTATTTACGAAACTTGAAATCCATTTTTTTTCTCATGTCTATGCATCTTGATGTCGAGATGATCAATTTGAGAATATTTGAGCATCAAAATAACCTCTTCTAGTGAATTTTTTGAGGTAGGCTCTAATTTGATGGTTTAGAGCCTCAGGTCTATATAGACCTTTCCCTTTTAGAAATAGTACATTTTGTAATGCATTTTCTAGATTGTCATTTTTCAAGACTTTTTAGTATTTATAGATCTGCCTGATCTATAATAATTTTGAAGCTCTAAATTTTATGATTATTTAGTTAGAGATAAAAATGGATTTTGAGAATGTCATCAAGATTTTCAATATCGAAACAACACCATTTGAATTTTGATACCATTTGAAGGTGCATTTTACTTTGATTGTTTAAGACCTCAATTATGTACCTTAAACCATCAAAATAAGGTGCACCACCAATTTTTATAATAAGCTTAAAATCTATTTTCATCTCTAATTATAAAATTTTAGGCTTAAAAAATTGTTCAAATCAAATAGATTTATAATCACATACTATTAACCATTCTCATTACTACAAGCCATTGTTAGTTGGATTTTGTAACTTGATCAATTGAATTTATGTCAAATTATAAATTGTCTTGCATATCTCCATAGTATTCAAATATTAAATTATATAAAAAATTGTTTTCATTTCTTTTTGTAGGATAAATGTATGTAATATGATAGTATATAATAAATCTATGTTTTTTCTATTTTTAAAAAAAATAATTAATTTTTTTGGGGGGGGTTTTTGACCCATTTTTTTTTAAAAAAATTTACTTGGCCGATTAGTCCGGTTAACCACCCCGATTAGTCCAGTTCCGGTTCAAACCGCTTCCAACCCTATGTCTGGTTAACTGTTCTGGTTTGATTTTGTGAACACTGATCACAACTAATGGCTAATAGTGTCTGTGATCAATGTTTGAAAAATTGGCCTAGTTAGCTCGGTTGAGTTACTCTGGCTTAGGCACTAGCCAAGCCCAAGTTGTCATGAGTTAGGGGTCCAACTTGAGGATATTATAAAAACTCAAAAAATATATAAACAAATCCAAAAAATAAGAAATCGATTTGTGGTATGTTTTTTATGTTTTATATCATTTTGGCAAAGATTGGAAAATATTGTGGTCATGAATATTTATTTTTATTTTTTAAAAAAAATTTCAAAAATACTCTCAATTACAAACAGATTTTTCAAAATCTATTTTTTTCCACTTTTTTAACCACATTTAAATGTCTGTGGTGTAACTTTACTTTAAATACATCTTTCCTTTTATTTGGATTTTATATTTTATTTTTATTTTTTAATATGTTTTTGCTGTTATAAGACTCAACCCTAATCGGGCTAAGTTGCTTGGATTCGGTAGGAGTACTCGGCTCTAAATAGTAATTTTTTTTTTTTGGGTAATTTAGTATGGATGACGAGCTCCTACCCGTTTTCTAAGTTGGAAGTGGTTTTTGGAGGGTTAGGTAAAAAAATAAACCTAGATCTTATCTAGGGCACAAGTAGTGCTTCCCCAGTTCTCTGGTTTCGAAGGAAAATATGAGAAATAGGAAGGAAACTTGGAGAAAACTTTATTTCCCCATTTTGCTTGGATTGAACAGTGGGAAGCCACCATGGCCACAATTTAGTCGATGTGACCCGATAATAATGGCCGTAGGGACTCCCAACTCTTGGAAATTTCCAACCAGAGAACGACGCTAAACGAACATAACCCCACATAAATGGTGATGAGACATATCCAGGGGGAAATGAAAAAATAGCCACTCGCACAAACCCCTCCATTCCATCACTCTCACTCTCTCTTAATAGCCAACTCCCACATAACCTGCAACCATTACTCTCTCTCTCTGTAAAATCATGGCTGCGAAAGATGGGTCGAAGCTCGGCATGAGAGCGAGACCGTGGACACTGGTTGCGCTTCTGCTGGGAGTGGCCGCTTCCGTTCTCATGCTTGTTTGGAACATACATTTTCGCGGAGGGCTTGCTTTCAGATCCGCCAACAAGCAACTCATTTTCAATGTCAGCTCTCTCTCTCACTCTGTCTCTCTTAACAAGTTGATTCACTAAAGCTGAATTCCATTTTGGTATGGTTTTGTGACAGATACACCCTGTTCTGATGTTTATTGGGTTCATTTTTGTGAGTGGCAATGGTAAGGAATATTTAAGTCCCTCTCTCTTTTCTTTTGAACCATGGATTTATATTTCCTTGTGGGATTTTGGTAATGTTTGTTTTGTGGGGCAGCAATCGTGGCTTATAAGATGGTTCCAGGGTCGAAGAAGGGACAGAAATCGATTCATATGCTTCTGCATCTTGTTGCTCTTGTTCTTGGTATTACTGGAGTCTATGCTGTGTTTAAGTTTCACAGGGAGTCAAAAATCCATGATATGTACTCTTTGCATTCATGGTTTGGCATGGGCACCATATGCCTTTATGGATTGCAGGTAAAAACCCATTTCTCTCTCAACCTTTCTCTTCTTTTTTACAGGTTATTATGACTGCAACTTGGAATCCAATCAGTTAGTAAAAGTTGTTTCCTGGAGAAAGGATTCCTCTTTTTGTCATCATTTTCATTCAGTATAGTTTCTTTGCCCAATTTCACCGATGGCTCTCCTAAAAAGAAAAGAAAAAATCTAAGAAAAATATAAATGGCCAGTATATTGCTTAGACATAAACTTTTAAGATGATTTTGATAGTTTTGTGGATGATTTGGGATCTTTTATATTTTTTTTCTTTCCTTGAGGAATGATCCTAAGAAAACCTCTCACACCATGTAAGATTTCAAAGGATCACATGGTGTACATCTCTAAACACAAAGTTATCAATGGGTATGAGACTTGATTTTTTTAAAAATCTGTCAAATTTAATGGTGTTTCTTTAAGGTCCTACACATATGGGAGTGAGAGGATTTCATAGGATTATTACTTTTTTTTTTTTCCTCAGCCTAAATTTTTTTACATATACAAGACATAGATCAAAATTTTCAACTCCCTATAATTTACATATTATTTTTTTATCTCTTTTGATCTTTAATGATTTCTATTGAATATTTATATTTGTCTATCTTTATAATTTTTAGAAAAATTTTACTGTTTATTTTTATTTTCCTACATTTTAAATGGGTTAATATGACTCGTCTGAACCCACTCGAACTCAATCGAGTTACTCGACTCGGTACCCCAGCTGTGGCCATTCCTTACTAGTATTTTGGAAAAGAAAGCTTTCTACTTTGGGAAAATTACATATATCCCTCGTCGACTAAAGAGCAACATACCCTTTCTCTTCAGTAAGGTTCATGCTCCTTTCTCTCTCCTAGTATGATCTGGCAGTTCTTAATTACGGTTCGACAATTTCTTAGAGCGGTTCATCGATTTTTAATGGGGTTCTGACAGTTATTAGCTGTGGTCCAGCATTGTTTCTTCTGGACGCACTCTCCACTCCAACAATTTAAGTAATGCGGTTTAGCACTTTTTTGGAGCGGTCCGGCAGTTTTCAATGGCTATTTGGCATTTGTTTTGACTAACGGATTGGTGTTGTTCGATTTGGGTTCCGGTTGGGTTGAGATATGTGTCGGATTGTCTTTAGTGATTCAACACTTGAAAGAAATGTGACATAAGGTGTACGGGAAGGGGCATTTTATCCTTTGGCCTATGAATTTTTGAATTTGGGGGTTATTTGCTGTGAAGCTAGTTTTGAGGATAAAAGTGGTGATTCAAAAGGGGGTTATTTGCTCCAAAAGATATTTTTGGGGAAAAACGTGGGAGTTCAAAAAATAGTTCGTCGGGGATGCATAAAAAGTTGAGTCAATGCGGGTTTTAGTAATTTTCCCTTTCACATATGGAACTGGTTTCTATACGGCCAAGCCCGCATATGTAGAAATGCGGGCCTATTAAATGTACTTTTTAGATGGATTTTTGGATTTAATATTTAAAGACACGTATGTTAGGATATAATAACCCTTTAGATGTAGAAACAAGAATCTCAAAAATTGGATCCTACCATGATCGTGTACTTATCCAGTTAGAAAAAAATAGAAGAGAGCACAAGTCATAATACGAAAAATAAAATATGAAATACACACAATGCAAAAATACAAAGATTTACTTGGTTCACCTCAAGAGGGCTACATCCACAGTCATGACAAACTGAAATCCACTATAACTATAGTAATGAAAGTTATATTATAGATTTTGAGACAGAAATAAGCAGTCAAGTAAACCCTCTCATCTCTATTCCACAGCTAAACCAATGTCCAGAAGAGATCATTTACATTCTACAGCTAAACTACTGTCAAGGAGGAGAACCTTGATAACAGCCCAGACTTTTTCTCACTAAAAGGGAAAACCACCCAAAATCTTTATGGGAATATCTTTTTTTCAAGAAACCAACCTCTCAATTTACGTAAAGTACAACGGGGAGTTTTTCTCTATAAAAAACTCTCTTCTATCTGAAGAAAGCCACATTTCCTATATGGTGACCCAAATTTTCAGCCCAATCCCAATTCTTTTATGAAACTTATCATTATCAATCCCAATCCCACATAATATGGGATTTCTCTATGCGGGTGATTTTGGATAATCACCCTATCCAATAATGTAATATCTAACTCAAAAATCATGAGTTAAAAAAAAAAGGTAAATTTTAAAAACTAGTACTAAAAAAACATTTGGCCTGTTAGTTTGTATTGATTTTAGATGGAACACGACAGCATATGTGGTGGAGCTCGCATGAGACAATTTTCATTTACTTATTGCATTTACCATAGTGTTTACTTCGCCGAAAAGGAGAAGTTTTCCCTTGGCACTATTTGGAAACGAAGCAGAGCATTTTCCTCAGCTGATTTCTTGAAGGAAAAAGAAGAGGTTGTTGCTTATTGTTTTCATGTGTGGTTGCAGTTTATTTGGGGGTTCCTGTTCTTCTGGTTCCCTAAAGTGGGTACCAGTAGGAGATCTAAATTGGTGCCTTTGCATTGGTTTATTGGGCTCATACTCTTCTTGATGGCCACCTGCACTGCTGAAATGGGGCTGCTCGAGAAATTGACATTTCTTGAGCTTTTCGGAGGACTCAAAGTTTATGGCAGGGAAGCACTCTTGGTCAACTTCACAGGCATTGCCATCCTTTTATTTGCTATTGCAGTCACTCTCTGTGTTATCCTTCCTTAACTTTCTCACCATTCTCACAAATCCACAGTGCTTTATTTATCATTTTTCATTCTACAGAGAGGGCTTCTGTATTGTATTTTGTAGAGACAGAATGTGTGTATAAAGATACTTTTGAGTGTTTTTATAAAGAGATGTGTTGTTTTATTGTATAATTAGTTTGTCTACTTCTCTGTCGAGAGAAAGAGATGGTAAGAGGATTCCTTTTTTTTTTATATTCTTGGATGTTTCAAAATGGGTGATGAATTGGGGATTAAATGATGTGTTGTGTCTCCCTCTGTAGCAATCATTTGAAGTTTGTAGTCACCATTGGAGTTCAAAGAGTATTGGACAATGCATAAGGTGTGTAGACAACTAGTCCTCGCCTGATTCTTTGTGGTATTAAGCAATGGACATGGATTTATTAATTTATACCTAGGAGTAAAAATACGGATCAATGACCCAAATCGTCCTGTCCAGTTCGCTTATTGGTGGCTTCGATCGACAATCCAGCCTAGTGAATTGGTAAATAAAAAATTTAAAATTTAGGGAACAAAAATCATTTGAAAGCAAAAATACTAAAAATAATGGGGGACCAGTTCTCTTCAAAACCGGCAGGCTCGATTAGAGAATCGGCCAAAACTAGCCAACTCCCAAGGGGAACCAGCAAGCTCTTGATGTTTAGGCAAAACCGAACCTGCCCTCATGATTCCCGATTTGAACAGCAGATCCGATTGGAACCGGCCTATTCTAATTTGTTCGCCGATTTTTAAAACCTTAATTTATACGCAACTCTTGGTTCCGTTAGTAATAAATAAGAGATTGTATATTATGATACCATTTATCTTTATTACAAAGAGGTCACAATTGCTACAAGTGATTAGATGTCAAATTAGATGGTTTGGAGAGTGTCAAAAAGTTCGAGAAAATTTTCTTTGAAATTTGAGTCTAATTAATAATACACTAACAACCACCTCCTCATTTGAAATATGCTGGACCACAGAGATTGTAACCTTGTATTGAAAAGATAGACGGTCTCTTTGTATACTTTTCCCATAAATAAAAATTAAAAGTTTTAAAAGAAATATTGGTTTACTTCCTTTTTCGTGTTTTCTTCTAAACAATTCTTAATAAATAAATCGTTAGGTTCAAAACCTCATTTTCAAACAAGTGACCTTGCTTCTAAATTTTTTAAATACCACTAATTATAAGCGATGCTAGCGAAAATTTACCAAGTTTAACGAGGTCCTACTCAAATGTTGCCCCTTTTCGAAATTCATCTTAGAGATAGATTTACGATTTGAAATACATGTTAGCACTCTAGATGCAATCCCACTATATATCGACTTTGTATATCATAAATAATGCGGACCCAACATTCTCATAAGAATAAACATGAACAATAAAAACGATCCTAAAATAAATTTAAGATCTTCATGTTCAAGGTTCAAAAAAATTATTAGTCTTTTTATATTCTTGGTCATGATGTCCATCGACCAATAAATTTTTCCTTGAACGTTCAATCGCCAATAGAATTTTGCTCCAACCGTTTTTTAAGAGGTTCTCCTATATCAATGCATAATTATGTAATCTGCAATTTTCATTAGTTACTAATGAAATTTTTTAGCTCTTTCTTTGATGAAAGTTATTAAATACTATTTAATGAAATGTATAAGCTCACAAACAAGTCGTAGTACACATGAACATCTTAGATTCATCCAATCTAATTGACGGTGGGGATGAATCATTTCATGGAACCAAACTTTGTTGCATTGTTACTTCGCAATATTTGCAACTGTTTTGATTTGAATGTATGGTTGGGATAAATGTTATTATTTAAAGAATGATAAAGATTGGACGGTTGGGATCACTTAACTAATAATAACAAAAGTCAATTTTTGAGTGTCTCATCCTCTCTTGTGGTGTTTTGTTTTTATTATTATTTTATAAATCATTTGAAAGTGAAATTTAAGATGTTCATACCTCTCATAGGGGCACATTTGAAATTAATAAAAAAAAAAATTTCTAATAAAAAGATCAAATACCCCAAAAATCGCAAGGGTATATTGGTCTTATTTGAATACAAATATTTTTTTCCTTTCCGCTAGTTGCTCCAATAACGTGAGGGCAATCTTTTTTATGAAAATAATAAATGAAGTTATAGTGAATGTATCATTGTGATTGAATGATCCTTTCATAGAGACAATCAGGAACAGGGGTCACACAAATCCCATGATGGCGGCACCGTGTGTAAGTATTATCTCGATTTAGGGCGAACCTTCACGCATACATGAGGTTATTAATTGGGTGCAGTCACCTGACCCGATGGATTGACCCAACTATGGCCTGGATCTAGACCCAATGGGTTAGAGATCCAAGTCCAAATAACCTGGACCTGATCTGGGCATCTTGGACCTCATTGGGTTGGGTCGGGTTGGGTTTAAGTCAACCTAACCCAACCCAATATTTATATATAAGTACATATTCAAAGTGTCAACTTTATATTGTACAAGTAAGATGCATCAAAAAAACCCACTAGAAACGGTTGTTATATTGGAAAACTCTTAAATTGATCATCTCAACCTCGAGATTCATATACATGAAAAAAAGGGATTTCTAATCTTAAAAATAGTTCATTTTCTAACACATTATATAGATCGCCTATTGTCAAGATTTTCAAGTATTTATAGATTTGTTTGATCGTTACAATTTTTGGGACTTTAAATTTCATAATTGGAGGCAACAATAGATTTCATTTCATCTCAAGGATTTTGCGTCACTAAAACTACATTTTTAACATAATTTTGATGTGCGCCTTACTTCAATAGTATAAAGTTGACACCTTATACAAACCTCACCCTTTATTTATAGGGTGCGGTTTCTATAAGGCTGCAACCTTAAACAATCCAATTAAGGCGCAGCTCCAAATTTTACCATAATATGTAATTTTGGTGAAAAAATTATTAGGATTATCTCAAAATCTATTTTCATATCTAATTATAAAATTTTGAACTCCAAAAATGGTCAAAATCAAGCAGATCTATAAATATATGAAAATCTCGGAAATGGACAGTCTAGATAATGTATTGCAAGATGCACTATTTTTGGGACTCAAAATCATTTTTTCTTTCATATTCATACATCTCGACGTTGACATGATCAATTAGATGTTTTTCAACATTAAAACAACATTTTCTAATGGATTTTTTAGGTGCATTTGTAATTCCACATTTTAAGATTTCAACCTTATATAAACTTTTTTTTTTTTTATTATATTCTAAATCAATTTATTTATAATTCTAAATTTTTGTAATAAAAATTATTTTCGTTTATTTAGACTTGAACCCGGATTTAGGTCCAGCTAGACAAGGTCATATCAAGTCGGGAAAAATCGGGGTCGACCGGACCCGACCCATTGACACCCCTAAATACAAAAGAGGAAATAGCAAAATTTGTTTAAGAAAATAAGATATCGTCACCTAAGGCTCACCAGGCCATATGCTTGAATCATGGCGTCGCTGAACAGACAGGTAAAGTGCGCAACAACTACGGATTAAACAAATTGCAGCCAGGTAAAGTGCGCAACGACTACGGATGAAACAAATTGGGTAGCAGGGACAACAATATTTGTTGTTGCGCGTCTCAGTCAATTGAGTTTCACAGGGACCAATGCTTATCATATATAAATCTACGTTAAATAAGTATATATAGGGCGCAAACTCTTTACTATATAACATACATCTTAAAATATTGATAGGAAAATGTTTGTTATGATGCGAGAAAACTCTTCTATTAATCATCTTTAACTTTTAGATATATGAACAACAAAATATTATTTTATATCTTGACATAGTGTATCTTATTAAAATCGAACCCGAACGTTAAACTGGAAATGGGACGGAAGCAATTCAACTGCCTTACAGGTATGCCGATCCGGTTCAACCAGCCTAACCGAGCAAGTCTTGGACGATAAAAAAAGTGTTAAAAAAAATAAAAAATTAACAAAATCTAATAAAATATGAAAAATATATTTAAAACATGATTAAACAAAGAACATTCAAATGGAGTTAAAAATTAATAAAAAAAAAAATGGATTTTAAAGAATCGATTTGTGCCGAGAGGTATTTTTGAATTTTTCTTAAAAAAATGAAAAAATGTAAAAATAAGTATTAATGGCGAATTTGTTTTTCAATATTTGCTAAAATGATGAAAAAATTTAAAAATACATTGCAAACAAAGTCCCTTATTTTTGGGATTTATGTTTTGTTTTTTGAATTTTTTAGAAATATCCGGCCTATTCACCAAAATCTGAACTGCCCAGCGGCCGGTTCCGATCTAATCGAGTGGTTAATATTTGAACTGTCAGATTTTTCCTATACTAATCTTATTACATATTATTATTTTTGACATAATCTTGTTACGCATCTGTTTTTCTGACAAAAGTATTATAATTTCATTAATTACACAAAGATGTTACAAATTTACAAAAATGTCAAAATAAAATATCAAATAAAAAGTTCTTCAGCAACCAACAATTCATCCAACTGAGTCATTATTTTGCTAAGTCATCCACAATCGCATTTGCCTCCATGTAGACGTGCTGGAAAGAAACTACCAATTGACCACTAATATCCATGACTTCCATCCATGTACTTCTCAAACTCCATGGCCATCGAGTTTCCTTCGTGCACCAAATGATAATATTCATAAAATCCCTTGCAACAATACAATGCCAAATTTTAAATCGCTTAACGAAAATACGTAATCATTGAAGTACGACTTCCATCTCTTCACAATTCGCCATTGTTACCCCCACAAGGCCCTAGATAACATAAAACCACTTTACCATTTGAAAATGTTATAACCCCGTCATAATCAGCAACTCTCGGATTCTCAAAGAAGCTTCCATCAAAATTCTACTTTAGGATTCCACTAACCGGCAGTCTCCATACACTTATTGTCCGAACTTTAGTCATCCTTTGGCCGATCAAGTTAGAGAGATTGACTGAAAGTTCTACCTCCGAGACTAAAAATCCCTCTTTAATTATTGAAAGTCAACTCCAAATATTATGAATGATCCTTATTTTCACCACACACATCTCAACTCCTCTACCTTCAAAGACTCCGCAATTTCTCTCCTTCCATATCTTCCATTACACCGCATCTGCCAAAACATTCTCCCCACCTTAGATATATCTTCCACCATCCCACTGTTCCAATATATCAACATGAGATC